AAAATAAACTTATCTTCTCATCACTTCCTCTTCTGAACGCCCTGAAATTGGCCTCTGTCTCTTTAAGAACCACCTTCCGCTTAATCTGAAAAGAGCTTCACTGAGTTAGAACTAATGTTGAGAGCTCAGCAGACAGTTAGGTTTCACTTTCACCCGAGAGCCTGCAGGAGTCATGGTCGGGGTGTGTGGGGGGGGGCTCTGCCATGAGGAAGTTCGGCTTAAAGACACGTCCCAGGGGCGTTTCTGGTCCCAAAAGACATTTCTGGTCCCTACCTGTCGCTTTGCTTCTCAGCATGGCTGCCTAAAAAAACGCTGCAGGATTTCTCAAACGTGCATGAATGAGCCAAAGCAAGGCTTTGGGCATGTTTTTTATGAGAGTATAACATTATAACATGATATAAAACTCAAAAAAGTTGATTTTACATGATATTGCCCCTTTAAAACACACACACACACATACACACACACAAGGACAATGTTTTCAGGCCACGACACTGAAAGAGCAACAGCCTCATTATTTGTTAAAGGGACGTTCAGCTCTGAACCAGGCTTACTGTCCCCATAAATCTGAAGAACCTGTTCGGTAAATACGCAGCGGTCCGTTTGGATTTTGTGCACAGAGGAAGACKTCTGCCTGCAGGTTCAGGAGAACACGTGAATGAATGTTCCCAGAGTCTCGTCAAAGTGTTGCAGAAGAACTTCACATGCCCGCTCTAAAATTATTTCCAGGGTAAACAGAGAGAAGTGTAAGATAGCAGGGTGTTGAGACAGGGACGCCTCTTTTAAAAATAGCAGATGCTAATTATACACTTTTAGGCAGCTGCCAAGGAGGAAGACACGACGTTTGAGGTGTTGGGATTCTGAATGCCGGCTCGGTATTTCTGAGCAAAGTCAAGATTCCTCAGCAAACAATACAATGTTGTTTTTTTATAGCAGCTATCAGACAGATACAGTATGCCTCCTTCAGATTAGAGACGCACCTCTGGTCAAAATGGACCACCTGCTGCCATCATGAAACAAACATTTAATAATTCAGAATCTGTGGCAGACGTAAAAACACGAGTTGGAAAAGAAAATTTAAACTATAATCTGAACAAACTTGTTTTATCAAAAGTTTTGCCTCTCTTTCCTTTCTTCTCAGACCAACTTTAAAACATTTGAAATAACCCGCATCACTTCAAGCCTTTCTAGTTTTTTTTTTTGTGCAAACTTTGATCTTTCTCCAACCTCTGCATGTTTCACGTCCAGCCAAGAGGAGGAGCGCAGACAGCTCGTCCTGTATAAACGAACAACAGTTGAAGAATTGCAGCTCTGTGATAAGCTCTCGTGTTCCACACATTAGCCTAATGGAAACCCACTAGACAGCGGCGTCGCTTTCCTGAGAGCCATTCAGGCTGACAGAAGCACCGACAACAACAAGAAATTTCTGTCGCTTCAAGTCTCACGTTGTTCTCTGAGTTCAGAAATCACTCGCTTTTTTTTCTTTATTCCAATTTTACATGAAAAAAAAGCTTAATATGTGGAAATGCTGTGATTTTGCGATGCATGTGACAGAAAACGTGACGAACAAAACAAACTGATTACTTTTTCTTTCTGTTTTGCTTGAGCTTCATTAGTTACAAACTGATAAACAGCTTATTTCATATGAAATGGTAACATCTTCCTTTGTATTTTAAAGCTATAAGAAAACACAAAGTATCTTTTAAACTTTTTTTTTCAGGAAGATCAATATGAAACAAACTTTTTTACCTCAAACAACAGTCTCTTAACAAGCAAAATTACCCTTTTTAGCATTGTGACATTTTGAAATTAATTCTTTGAAGTCAACTCTGTTAGCAAAATAATCACAAGCCAAGTTTTAATGAAACCTTCAGGAAATAATAATTAGGTCTACATTTACAAGTGTTCAACTTTTGGAGCTAACCCAACTCAAGATGGCCACCAAAGCCAACTCAACTTAAAAAAAAAACATAAAAACGGCTTCAATTCAAATAATTTTATAGATTTTGTGCTAAAATTTGATGTGATTGTACACATTATACTCCAACAAATATTCAAAGGGACACTCTGGGTGAAAGATCTTTGTCGAAACACTTTAGCATAACCTCATTTGTCTGTTAGCAAAATATTTCAAGAACCATTGATTGGATCTTAATGAAACATTCAGAAAGTAATAATTGGATAT